GCAGAAACAATCTTAACCTTCCTTCCAAAGTATCCAAATCAGCGCCTTAAGAAGTCTTTATCAAATTGCCATTTCCTGCAGACCTCCCAGTGGCCAAGTTCTCAATAAGGAAAAGAAAAACAATATCACTGTCTTTATAACAAACACAGAAGGCGAAAAGTTCCTTATTCTTCACCTCTTAACTAGTATTTCCGATGTCTGCTTTGCAGCCCAACTCCTATTTTGATGAAAACTTCCTGCGCAGGAATCCACAAGCAAGGGAAAAAACGCGAAACAAGAATTTCTACGTAACAATTTCGACTGACTTTAAAGCGATATTGGAGACTGAGACATATATTCAAAGGTCGGTGAAAGGACAATCAAACAACACTTAAAACTTTAATTATTAAAAAATATGAATTCAAAAAATTTTTAAGCAGTCCTCGATATATATTTATCAAAGTTTTGTGAAATGTTTTCAGGTAAATACAATTCTTAGCCTCCAAAATAATTTACTGCGCCTATCAACCATAACACTGAATACAAGTAATATTTGAACATTATCATGAATATTCCTACTATGTTTTGTGTGATCCTTAAATATTATGGAACTCTAATATATTAACGTATTGTTATTAATGATTGTATTATGAATGGAACTGAATTTTCGTTTACTGAGCAGGATAGTTTGTTACGGAATTATACTAACTTTAATTTTAGGAAAGTTTACAAGCCGATGCATCCTCACAATAAATTTTGTTTATAATAAGGAGTTTTAATAGTTATAAATCATTTATATAAATGATTATTTAAATTATGCAAATTATTTATAATAAATGATTATTTCCATTATGCAAATTATTTATAATAAATATCTAACATTAGTGAAATCAAGAGAATGGGATACCATAAAATAAATTCCTAGACGTAGAAATACATAGAGCCATCGTTCATGCTTCTTAATCACATTCGAACATATTGCGCAACGCATTAGTTTTTCATAGACTTACAAAACTTTAAAAAAAGTGCCTTCCTTGTGCATTCTAGAAGCGAAGCATTTTCCTTCTTGAGTACTAAATGATGGATCGAGTAGAGTGTGACGCAAGCCGACATAAAGAGATGCTTCTGTGTCCTCTTTTACCGGAAACAAGTCCAGTTTGTCGGTAGCTTTGATTTTCTTTTGATTCGCGAGGAATGCTTTTCTAATATTTGGAATCGAGGACGAAAACAAAAGAAATCAAAAGAGCTTTTCCTGAAAGGCTTTAAGGGTAAAAGTAGTATACGTCTTTCTCTTTCTTTAAAAGAGTTTCCCTCAGGACGAATTACAAAACAAAACGAAATATTTGTTGAGGCATTGAAGGGAATCATAACATTTGTTAGCAAAGGGTGAAAATATCGCTTTTAAATAATAAAATAAAAACCAAGCTATTACGAAAGGAAATTCTATTACCTGCTTTAATTTTTTAATTATCAGTTTGAAGTATTTCTGAGTAGACTGTAAGAGAGTAATGGAAAGGCATATGTCACAATACGTACTTTAAACTGTTTCAATTGCTTTAATTTCTAGCTGTTTCAAGTGGCACTGAATGGAATAATTTCGCATTCATTGTAAAATAAAATCATGATGAGTTCTTAAAAACTTACAAGTAAATCTTCTCTCCTTTGATACCTGTTTTCCGGAAACCCATATGTTTTCTGAAAGCTTATATCACAAGCAGAAAAACTGTGAAGTCTTAGAGGGACAAGCGTTTAAGAGCTATAGGATCCTCAAAGTATCATTAAAGTGTGTATATATGGAGGTATATCCGTAATGACGTCTCTACTTCTTCTATGTTCATGCACTGTCTGCTTCCGAAGTACCTGATGGTAAAATCATACAAAAGGAATTGGTACCCGAAGGATGTACGAGAAAGATTTAGCCTCTGGATATTCATTTCTTCAGACACTACAGATCTTTTGTTCGTAACATAATGGACACAATCATTATCGAGACAGAACACATTTGGCATAGCGATAGCTTTCTGGCCCTGCAGACTTTTCAATATATCAGTTCAGCGCTCATAGTTTCAAGAACTTGATTAAGTATGCTTTTTATAAGGGCGGATACTTGGAAGACGAATATAGAATGTGGATTGCGCTGATGGATTACTGCTTCGATTCATTGGCAAATGATGAGTGTGCAAAGTGTGAGGCTATCTTTTTTGTGAAATGCGCCCAATGTTAATTGTCTTTCTGCCAGTCTCAATGTTTTTTTGATGAATTGCACATTAATTGTCTCTTGTAATAGATTTTATTTGAAGTCGATAGTCACATTTTCAACATCCTAACGTATAGTGTTTCTTTTCAGCGTATTGGTTTTCATTTTATATTGAGATCTTCATCTTCTTACCATATTATTAGTTCCTATAAATACGTGAAACAAGCACTTTAACGACGTTTGCTAATAACGTTAGCTCTTAAACGCTTGTCCCTCTGCCTCTAAGATTTCACAGTTTTTCTACTTGTAACATAAGCTTTTAGAAAATATATGGGTTTCCTGAAAACCGGTATCAAAGGAGAGAAGGTTTACTTGTTAGAAAAAAGCCATCACATTGAAAATTTTATTAACGTTTGCCGTTTGTTTCTGAAAGAAACTCTCAGAAATTCAAAAACTAATTTTGAAGTTCAAGTTACCTTTACGATGTTAGAAATATCTTTGTAAATATTTAAGACATTATATTACACTACCAAAATATTTATCACCTGCACAATTTGCCGAGCACGAGCTATAAAATTTTAATTTATCTTTCACGTGGCCTGTTTGTGGCCAGTTTCCAGATTATTGTCATCTGATAACTCGCGTAGGCTATAAAATATCTTCGTACGACTTTATTTAGCCGAGATATTAATTAAAACCTACTTTTCCCTACATTTTTCACTTACTTTGTTGGATTTTTCCCTATTAAAAAGGGATTTGGCTACGCGCCAATTTAATGTTTTTACAAATATCTATGGACCAGCGGTTTGTTGAAATTCGAGACATATATCCAATGATTCCAAAAATTCGTCGGAATCCATCATTACCATTCTCATCTTCGTACGACTTTAATCAGCTGAGACATTAATTAAAAATTCTGAAAAGGCTAATTTGAATGAGACTCAATAGCGACATTAGGGATTTTTTCTTAGGTCTTCCCGTGTGGGTCCAATAAATTGGTGATAAAAATTATAAATTTTGATCTAATTATCCAAATTTCTCAAAATTTTGTGTCGCACACTGAATGATAGGAACAATGGTGGTGGGACTGTTTTTGTCGCTTAATTACTTCCAGCTTAATCGCAGATGAAATAATACTCCGCTTGCTATCGTTAACTCTTTGTTGACAGTAGCGTCTATCCCTAGCATGGGTTATGCTTCACGTATGCGCAATGACAAGCTATATTGGCGTTATTGGCTGGCCTCCGTTATACAGAATTGGCGATGTATCCTGAGATTGTCAACTAAAAACACGTTATTCCACTAAATTTTGTCACTTTGCAGTTAAACCTGAATAAAGCTTGAAGCGTTGAAGAAGTTAAGCTGTGTTACTTATTTCTTACATTTAGCGGGAACAGTATAGAAGGTAATTTTGTATGTTTGGAATGTTCGATGCCCTATTTTGGATTGCCACTGAGGTAAGATAAAAATGACTGATGCAATCAAGAATACGAAAAGAAGGGACCAAAGTATGTTGTTTTATTGAATGGCTGTTAAAAGATGAACTTTTATGATAACTCTATATATATATATGTAAAAAAAAAACGAATTTGTAAAATGAGGTTAAATTAATTGATTATGTTATGCTCTCAAGAATTATTTGCCTTGGATGAGATATGCTTTTGTGGAAAGCATAAATTTGAAAAGTAATTTTGTGATAACAGTAGACATAAGAGGAAACATCAAACAAAAATACATTTGGAAATAAATGTAAAATAATCCTACGGCATCCTACAGCATTAATTTAAGCAGTTTCTAAATATCAACAGGAGTGAAAAAAGGCTATTTCCCCACACGCTTTTTCAAGTCCCCAGTAAATAAATTCTCGCATATTTGGGCACAAAGCTCACCCCATACGCTTTTCTAAGGCCCCAGTAAATAATTGCTCGCATAATTGGGCACAAAGTGAACGAATTTCACACATTCCGCAGAACTTCACTTAAGCATCGCTGAAAACTGAATTCTGAATTCATGGCGAAGCCAAACATGCACAGATGTTCTTTGGTCAAGCGACGAAGGTTACCATGCTGAAAACATGCCTATTGCGCATGCGTGAAGCATAAACCATGCTACGGCTAGACGCTACTTTTGTTGACAGGCTGCGATTCGAAAGTGACGGAGGGGGGTTAGCTAGTATCCGGTCGACCATTGGCTTGGCGAAAAGGTCAAAGTTCACGGATTTACACATGGAAAATCATTTAAAAATTAATAATTTCTAATTAACTTACCGACTTGAAACTATTATCAACATTTCGACTTTTGTGATATATTTAATGATTTGTTTCGTATTTTTTAAAGATCTATATGTTCGTGTTATATATTTCTGTTATTGTTGCATTTACAGTTACATTTTATATTGCATTTACATTTTATATTTTTTACATTTTACTATGTGCGATTACAACTATCGTTTTATCATTTTAAGGCGCTCGAATGTTCTTTATTTTCAAACGTAACCCTTTGGTCAGGCGTAAATGCAAAATATCCGCAGCCTATAAGTATTGAAGAAGAGCAATATTTACTGAAATTTTACGCGGAGTGTGTTTTTAAAATTCACGCGAAATTGAAACTTGTTTAAGGACACCAACGCGAGCGAAGCCGCGGGTAAAGCTAATTTATTATAAATCCAATTGATAATATTTATGAACGTTTCCAAGTTATTATATTTCTGACTCCATATATCACGTAATGTATATTTTCATATATGTATACATTTTTAAATATCTCAAAGAATTCTTTTTATTTTCACATACCAGGTTTGTCCATTGCAAATAAAAATCAGATACAAGCTTGAAACCTTTTATTAATCGATGACGCTTTCTATTGCTTCTTTATCGTAAATATACATTTTCATCCGGGCCCGCCAGCGGCCGAGCGTTTAAGCCGCTGAGCATCAGTAACGCTGAAAAAGCTGTTGTCTTTTTTTTTGCAGAAAGGTTTAGATTTTACAATCTTATTCAACGTCGGCCATATACTAAGACATAATGGCATTACAGTCCTGTCTTCAGACACAACATTCATTGCTACTATCAAGCTGAAAAAAAAAACCCGAAAACCTGCTGGTTGCTACCGCAGTGCCAAAGTCAGAATAAAAAAGACTCCGAGTTGTTATAGTCTGATATTGTAAGTTAAAGGTGACATGATTTCATTATGAATCCGAAATTATTTGCTTCCGAAGAGTGATATACATTGTTGTTGTTTCTAATCTCCGAAGTGGTACAACAATTTTAGATCAATTCCATGAGTCCAAATTTCTCTAAAAAGAAACAAGATGTTTCGAAAAAAACCTTGTCCAAGGTACAATCAAGACAAATTAAATTATGATCAATTGATGCCTGAGCAGCATTACACTTGGTGCCAGCATTAAATCCTTTCTGTCGTTGTTCATAGGAGAAACTCTTTAAGTGTCCACTTGCAAAAACTTGATATGCAAGTCTGCTGGCTATTCCCCTCAAAAAGGAAGTCACCAACCCAAACTCTCGAGTACCAGTTATGTACTAGAGGGACACTCCAGAGATCTTTAAATGATTTCTTACACTCGAAAGCACCTCAGATTCAAAGCATATCTGATAGGGAAATCTCTAAAGCAGCAGTCTCGTTGCCGCTAATGCCCACATGGGAGGGAATCCATTGAATGTGCACCTTAAAATTAACCGAAAGCCTAGAAAGTTCAGGATAGATATGCCAGCCCCGTCCCTAACCTCTGTCCAATACCTTAGATTTTGAACTGATGATCGGCTATCAGTTAGAATTCATATATCCACAAAATCAGGTTCAACAATATTCTCCACATACCTCAGGCCTCTTTCAACAGCAATGAGCTCATTATTATGAGTAAATGATATGACGATTATGGGAATAAAGTAAATTCCCAGTATCATTGCATTTTTTACTCACAATTAACATATTATTGCATTCTTTACTATTAAAACTGAAATAAAACTGTCACTAATTGATTCTGGAAATTTCATCGGTTTTCAAGAAAAAAAGAGGAAACAATTAAATTTCGTAATGTTTGTAAACATAAAATATTTAAGAATATAATAGAAGGCTGAAAATATTTAAGTGAGAACATGGAGAAAGGAATTGAAATAGAAAAGCAAATCTAAATTCTGTAGTATTATTAGACAAAAATATTAGTTCTCTTACTTTCAAAAAGCATAAAAGTAAGAAAAACCTTTTCCTCTTCACATATAATAGATTTAAGAGGTTTACCTTGCATATCTTTAAAACAAAAGAACGCTGTGTATTGATGTTACTGCAAAGTATTCAGCTCTATTTGTGGCTCTCTGGCGAGTTAAGCTTATAAACTAACTATGGTTCTCTTGCGATACATTGATACTGAGACTTTAAAGGATCCTTAAGCTTCTCTCTCTCTCGTCATGAATTGCCTTGAAACCACATAGATCATATGCACACATGGAATGAATTGTCATTAAGAATCTAAGTTTCAAAATTGATTCAAGTAGCATAAAATCATATTAAGGAGGAAGAAAAAAACATGGAGGTTAGTCTTAAGGAGATTGTTCTTCATAATTACTTTCCTAACGGAACAAAATCTACTTTTTAAAGGCTATCAAGAAAAACTAAGCAGTCCAGTAAATGGAAATATTCAAATAAATTTTTTAATTAAAAATCTTTTAAATTTTGCATGTTGAAATTGCTAAATGTGTTATAAATTTTTAGTTTAATTGAGAAACCGTTTCAATTTTTTAACTGAAAATATTGTGCGGTTTGATAACATTATGCAAGTGCTTTAGTGCAGTTATATTTTGCTTGGATATGGAAAATTCCACTATTTTGAAAACTGTTATATAAAAAAATTACATAAATGCCTATAATTTTTACTTTCAAAACAGAATGATTAGTGTAATATATTATGTAACAGACTGGCCATGGAACATAAACTGGCTTCAGAAAATATAATTCTAAAGGAGACCCGAAGGGGTCTTCATGTTGCGACTTATAGGAGACACCGAAATTCTTAAATCGATCCTCCAAACGCATATAAGAACAAATGATGAAAATATTAAAACTTCTCTCTCATTGCTTTAGCTGGCAAATCCTATACTGACTTTTCCTTGACCCCAATCTTTCAAAACTTCTATTACAACAAAGGTGAGTGCATAGTATTTAAATTTGGCGCTGAATACATTGTCAAAATTCTATAATTTAAAGTTCTTTCACTTAATGAAAAAGCATAGATTCTGGGATTCTTAGAAAATGAAATTTCATTAAATAAAAAATCATGTGTTAGCAGCTTTACAGATAATAAATTGAAGCCAGTACTTCTAAACTGTTGTTATTTTATACTTAAAAATTTAAGGGATTTTGGGCTGCATTGTGTGCTGTCGTGGTATAATCGGTAACACGTTCGGCTAAGTAGTTGAAAGATCTGAAGTTTGAATCTTCGTTATGGCACAGCTGATTCATCATTTTCTCTTATTTAGATTTGCTTGATAGCTTTACAAAAGTCCTTTCAGATGTCTGTGCTTGAAAATGTAATATGGTGACATATCACAATACCCATTTCTCAAATCTTTAATAACTATATGCTAGGTAATTAGGGTTAGAGGAGAAATATTTTATGCTTAATTCAGCTGAGCTGTGTTGAATGTTTTTCTTATTCATAATATTTTTCGAATGTAACCATATTATAAATTCTTGAGTTGAGCATTTTCGCTAAAATATGTCGCATGTTAAGACTTTTTGTTATCTGAAAGTTTTTCTTAATTAATTTTTTTAAAACAAAGTCATCGGTCTACAACTAAACTTTTAAAAATTGCGTAGACGTGCAATCTCCTTGTAATAGAATGTGAATGCTCCCTTCGACTTGCGCATTAGGAGAGGTTAATTATGAATGCTGTTATTTCTGTTTTAGGTTCAACTGTAGGAGATTTAGACGATTACCTACATTATTTGCATCGGATTTTAGATTGCGAAGGATTTAATATTAGATTGACAGTATTATTAGTCATGAACATTTAAAACAGATCTGAGGTTTTAAGAACAGACGATTTCCCAATAATCTAAAGTTAAAAATTTGCCTAATTTGCTTCTCTTGCTACAAAGTCGTATTTCTGTTTTAGGTTCAACTGTAGGAGATTCAGACGACTACCTACATTATTTGCATCGGATTTTAGATTACGTAGGATTTAATATTAGATTGGCAATATTATTAGTCATGAACATTTAAAACAGATCTGATGTTTTAAGAACAGACGATTTCCCAATAATCTAAAGTTAAAAATTTGCCTAATTTGCTTCTCTTGCTACAAAGTCTTTCAGAAATCCTTACACTCTGTGTAATATAAGCCTCAGTTCTCCCCAGAATGTTTTTATTGGCATGTTCTTTACAAGACACAGGTAGCCTCAAGTCCATATGACGTAATAGATTACCTGCCTACTATAGCTTTAACTGAAATCTTCAAATAGCTTCAGTTTTTCTGAAAATGTCTTAAGGAATTCAAGTAAATTTAAGTTTTCTTCTTGGCTAGTGTTGTAAGCAAAATTCTTAAGAAGTCACTATTCTTAAGAAGAGTCTTCTCAATGCAAAAAGATTTGAAAATTAAGTGGAGCTATTAAAGAAAACTATAATAATAAATTTCTATTTTAGTGACTCAGATAGCATGATACTATTTGTATATTTGTATATCTTCATTTATTTCTATTTTCTCCCCATTTTTTTCTTTTGCAACTACTTGAGAATAAAACTTTCGTTCAGACCAAAATGTATCTTTCCTAGCTATATGAAAAAGTACTTAAATTGCGTAATTTTTATGTCCATACATGAAAGAACCATCAAAATTATTTTTCTGAAATTCATCAAAATGATTTCAGTTACTTTTTTTTCTGGTTACTTTTTTTTTTTCTTATTATTACATTTCCCGTCCTTAGGCACTACACGGAAAGGCAAGGATGCCCCACAGAGGTCTTTTTGAGGAACACTGGCTCGTATCCTCATTACATATGGGAAAAACCACGAAATCGCTCATGCAGCCAGCCCTTTCGCAGGGACTTGAACCCCGGATCGATCTACCAGTATTCAGTGGCTTTTACCGCTCTATCGCTGGTGGGCCATTTTTGCATACTTGCATTCGTTCATCAGTATTATTTATCTTTAATCTGCCAACACCTGAAAAGAAATGAAGAAATAAGACAGACCACCTAAATTCATAATTCATTAAATTAATTCATGAGTGAAGTTTTAAAACATTATTCAGCATAGTTTAGTTTTTTAAGTTCCTGTAACAATACAAAATGCACAGCCATTCGTAAAAATGCACTTTTTCACTTTAAAATCAATGAAATTCTTTTGTGCAAAAATAAGAATGTGACTTTGTTAGAATTTAATTAGTAGATATGTGCATTTTACTTTCCACACCTTTTCTTTTGTTCGTTTCATCAAAACATCTTGAATTAAACATGGCAAGCGAGCAAGAGAGATGCATTTTGAGTAGAAATGCACGCTCAAAGGCATATCCTTCTCGAAGCTGGGAATAAACTATAGAAACAATGTTAAAAAATATATGAGATCAGACTAAAAAATATATGCGCCGAACGTGACTACATTCCAAAGGAGCCGCACACCAATGGAATGCAAGCCGAAGAAAAAATTAAAGAAGAAGGGAAGGCGGATTCGTGTAAGAAGATTCAGAGAACTGAGTTGAAAAACTTTTGACATTTTTAACATTCGGGTCACGAAAAAGCTTCGTTCGAAAGTTCAATCTTTTGTCATCTGTCATCCTGTATTTGGACAGCATGAGTACTGCTTTGTGGGGCCATACATGCGTTTGGATTTCCTCAGCTTTTTCATTTATAGGTGTTTTGAAGAGAGGAAAGTCTCCAAATACGTGTAATTTTTATAGTAATAAGCCTAAATTTACATGGCTGACTTATGGCAGTAATTATGGCAGTTATAATGTTTTATTATTCTTCGTTCTTCTATTTAAGTGCTTAACAACGAATAAACTGCTCGACATTTTACTGAATGTTAAACAAAAACTTCACACGCAAGGTGCAATTTATTGGTGCAATTAACAAAATATTTGTGGCACTAAGCTTATTCATGTAATTAATAATTGTTGAAGAAGCAGCAGTAATTTAAAATGCCAGGAAATACTGATAAATATTAATTCAACTGCGTATACTAAATAATTTTTTAATTTTTAAAATAAGTGTAATATTTCCTATTTAAAAGAAGATTTCCTTAACCCTCTCAGCGTTAAGGCTGGAAAATTCCGTACAGAAGGTTGCCTTCCACATTCATTACACGCGACAATTTCTGCTAGCTTTTAATGTATCTGATTTCAGTTTGGTGGTATATTGGAAGAAAAGGAATCAAGGTACAAAATGAAAGAGTCATTTTTTAATTAAAATCAAGAAAATATCACTTAATCATGACATTTTGAGGAACTTTGAAATTTCAAGGTTAACCCGTAATGATCAGAGGGTTAAAAGATTTTTAAAAAATGTAATGTGTACACCACATGGCTTCCTTGTACGGAATATTAAATTATAAGCATTTTTTTCTTGCATTTCATTTAAACATATTGGATTGAATTAAATTTACTTCGTCGATAACGCATAAACCACAATAGAATAAATACACTCTTTAAAATTTACTATATATGTTTACCATAGCGACACTCTGGCATTAGGTTCACTTAACAGCGTTACATTTCATTCATTTTTTAACTCTTGGATCTTCGATCGTATCTTTACTTCTGGCATCAGCTACTAAGAGCTATAACCAGTAAATTAACATTATACCAGAGGCCAATAAAATTTTTAAAATAAAAAGTGTACATATTTAAATACACCGCACCTGAGGACGAGATCAATACATGAGTAAACTCAGTAATTAAGATTTTGCAATTAAATAGCATATAATGGCATATCATAGCGTAGACGTTAGTCGCTACATTAATGGCGACATCAGGTAAAATGAGAAAGTCTTAGCATCAGGCCGAGGCAGTAGATTTTTTAACTCAGAATGCACAAAATTTATATCATCTTAAGAATTATCTAAACGTTGCCACATGTTCTATTCAAATACTATAATAAATCTAAAACGATGTATAAAAAAAATTAAGCCAAAAAAGGAAAAAAAAAGGAAGGAAGTCAAAAAAAGAAACAGTTTTTCACAGACTATTCAGTATTTCTTATTTAATTAATTCAGTTTTCACTTCGAGACAAGGCAAAAATACATAAAACCTCAAACTATATGCATTGAAAATTATGAAGTAAATCTTAATACACTTATTTCCTCGAATAAATTCCAGGACGGATTAAACATGACTTAATTAGCAATAATAAAAGAAGGCGTTATCTTTGTTATTGCAAGGCTTACTTTCTCTAGATTGGAAGTAAATCTACTATTCTGCTTTTCAAATGTAAACAAACATGGCCACCATGGCAAAAATAATTAGGCTTAGCGACACTTAAACAACTTTTAAATGGGTGATAATTCTAAAAATATTTCATGCAGATTTACTAAAGACATAAAAAGCTTAACCGGAGGATAAGAACAACATAATTCAATAGTTTTTAAAGCAAAAATTGCACGATTTACAAACATATAATAATAAAGAAACTGAGATTACTTAGCCGAGTAACACAGTAGTTATATATATACATATATTTATATACTTTTGGTGCGGCCGATTGTAACAAAATACGAGGTGCACATCTACATGTTGTAGCAATCCTATATACAAAATTTCAACGTTCTGAGGCTACTCGTTTTTAAGTTATGTGAGATACGTTAAGTACGCACTGACGCCATGAAAAGTTCTCTTCAGAATTCATTTTAAATCAGTTTTATAATTTTTTTTTGGGGGGGAAAAGAGTCCTTTATTCTGTACTTACGTACAGATATCAAGCAAAAACATCGTTAAATTGCATTCGATAGCGGTCAAAATGGATATTTTCGTTGAAATATGATACCTGAAATTTTTCGCGATCGCAATACTTCCTTTTCACTTCGCACTAGGAAGTAAAAAGTCTATAAAAACGCAAGCAAATGAAGTTCTCATTAGTTTTTATTATTTATTATTTTTATTTTTCCATAATATGTAATGAGTGTATGTGCATACATATTTCATCAACATGTTAATTTCTATTTAAAAATAGTAAACTTAAATAGATACAGTAGCTCCGCATTTTGTAGTTACAGATATTTTCTTAAATTTTTTTAGAAAATTTCTTAAAGCTGAACTTCTGAATTTTATTTTCTGTTATATTCAAATACTTTTTGCTTTTACTTTCTCATTTAAATTGATACTGTTAAATTTTTACTTATATGCTTACATGTTTCGTACATTTCCAAAAGTTTAACGTTTTCTAAAACAATTTTTGGGGAAATAAACGAATTCACAATAAGGTCTTTATGTATGTAAAAAGTTAAAATAACTGGATTAAATGACATCATAAACCTAGAAAATACAAAAATTTTATTGTTTGTTCTTTATGTTACTGCAACGCAAGCCAGGGAATTTTTTTATATTTTTTTACTTCAACATACATTATACAGTTAAAGCAAGTCTAATGTAGACACCACATGACTTCCTTGTGCTGCGTGTTAAATTATGCATATTTTTTGCTGAACTTCATTTAAACTTATTTCATTTGAAAGTGAGACATGATTCTCCAGTTCTTTAATAAAGTGGAGAAATGCACACACAGTTGCTAAAATATTGGTTTTTATTAACATCAAGTATTTAAACAATTGTTAATTCAACCTGAAATATCCGAATAGAGTAAAAGTTCCTTTATTACTCTTTAAATAAATAAAAGTCTTCTATCTATCTAATACTGTGTTTTTTAAATATAAGTAAAAATAAAAGTACAGTATAGTAAAATAATAATAAAAATTGAGTACTTTACACTGTAAGGTCAAAATTAACAGGTGTAACCAATATACAGGAGTTCACTAAATTAGTATTAGTAATTTAAGAAAATATATAACACGTGTAATATGCAATCGAAATTTTATATATGGTATATACAATTGGTATTGTCAATTGCAATAAAAAAGGAGGTGCACAATTATGTTATAGCAAATCCCTTTTGAATTTATTTTAAATCTATTTTGCAATCCGTTTTGGAAAAGAGTCTTTCATTCTGTCCGTACGTCAGGCCAAAAAAATGTCTTCCAAATGAATTATGGATTAGTTGAAATGGATATTTGCGTTGAAATATGTTACCCGAAATCTTCCGCAGTTACAATACTTTCTTTACTTCGTACAAGCAAGTAAAAATATAATACTCTTCAATCAAGAGGAAGAAATATTGCTAACAGTTGATAATCTGTTACTGATAAACCTCCTTTAGGACTCTTTAGGTATTGCAACAAAAACATATACTGCTGTTCTGTTTCCATTAATTGAATCTTATATGAAGTTATAAAGTCTTAAATGAAGTCGAAACTGAGCAACGAGTTTCGATAGCTGTGACAAATCTTATTTTTTAAAAATAAATCCTTGTAAGGAAAGTAATGTTAAATTCGACAAATAAAATTAAAGAAGAAAAAATTAAAGTTAAATTCGACTAAATAAAGAAACTTCTCATGCTTCTGATACATTCGTTACTAAAGTAACCAATGTATGTAACGCATGTTTATTTTGTAAGTATAAGCATAACAATAACAAATGTTCCAAAGTGAAAAATATGTCACTGACGTAAAAGACGACAACTGTGTAGAATAAAATATGCTGCTTTTTTGTCTGAAATCTAGACATAATACAAAGAGCTGCGAGGTTTTAGTGTAATGTATGTTGTATTCAAAGAGATATTTTATGCTTATGTGTCCAGAGCAACATAGAACAAGTAATAATGATAAGTAATAATAAGAAGGAAAAATAATATAGTTTGCAACAAGAAGTTACCGAACCAACGTATAGATAGAAGGCTGTAAAATATATTAATACATTACATTCAATTCCATGAAGTTTGAACGGAATATTGTTAAAAAGTGTAAATGGAATATTATTAGGGAGCAAAAACGAAAACCTGATACATTGCATTCATATCCTACGCTTGAAGTTTTTCAGGAACTCTTTGTAAAGTTTAGACAATAAAAAGGCAAGGTAAATTTTAAAAGTCATGTGTCAAACACACTGTTTCAGACAAAAC